ACATTCCTTGTGTCAAGTCACTCTTGAACAAGAGACGGCGTCAGAAGCGTCTCGCCTGGGACTGCTGCTGAGTGGTCCAAAGTTATGTTCTTTGATGAAAGTAAATTTTTCATTTCCTTTGGAAATCAAGGTCCCAGAGTCTGGAGGAAGAGAGGAGAGGCACAGAACCCAAGTTGCTTGAGGTCCAGTGTCAAGTTTCCACAGTCAGTGATGGTTTGGGGTGCCATGTTGTCTGCTGGTGTTGGTTCACTGTGTTTTCTGAGGTCCAAGGTCAATGCAACCATCTACCAGGAAGTTTTAGAGCACTTCCTCTTCCTGCTGCTGACCAACTTTATGGAGATGCAGATTTCATTTTCCACAGGACTTGGCACCTGCACACAGTGCCAAACCTACCAGTACCTGGTTTAATGATCATGGTATCCCTGTTCTTAATTGGCCAGCAAACTCGCAAAATCTATGGTGAAGAGGAAGATGCGATACACCAGATCTAATACTCCATGCCACGCCATATTGCTGCAGTAATCCAGGCAAAAGGAGCAACAACTAATTATTGAGTGCTGGACATAGTCATACTTTTCAGTTGGCCAACATTTCTAAAAATCCTTTTTATTCTAATTGATCTTAAGTAATATTCTAATTTTCTGAGATACTGAATTTGGGGTTTTCATTAGTTGTCAGTTTTAATCATCAACATTAAAAGAAACAAACATTTGAAATATATCAGTCTGTGTGTAATGAATGAATATAATATACAAGTTTCACTTTTTGAATGGAATTACTGAAATAAATCAACTTTTTCCTGATTTTTATTGGTACAAAAAAACGATATATCTTCAGTCGTTAATACAGTTTTTTGTAAGCACTGATGACGTTTTTAATGTAAGATCCATCTTTCACCTGGGAAGCGTTTGCAGGCCAAGTGTCTTAAAGATCTGAACACATCACACATGAGGGGGGGACAGCTGGAACTGGACTGGGTGATGGAGGAGAAGACTTTCTGGACATAAACCTGAAGGTTTTCCTGCAACAACATTCAAACTGTGGCATTACACAAACTGTACGAGAAGAAAAGCTTAATGCTACCTCAAGTTTTTATGTTGTTTCTGAGCCTGAAAGACAACAGAGGAGCGATTACCTTGTTGATTTCCACATTGTCACCTTCTTTTAGTTTAATGGGGTCTATTTCACAGGTTTTGTTGGAGTCACAAATCTGAAAAAGTAAAAGAATGTAAAAACATGGAAAGCACTCAAAGTCAGGTCAGATTTGTTCACCTCAAACTTGTCCTAAACGCCGACAAAACCAAAGGGATGCTTTTTTCAAATAGGAAGTTGGTCCCAACAGTTTTTCCTCAGATTTTATCCTCAAATGGTGTCCCCATTGAGTTTGTTGATTCCTATAAATATTTGGGTATCTTGGTCGACTCGCATCTCTCTTTTAAGCTCCATGTGGAAAACTTGGTAAAGAAACTGAAAGTTAAACTGGGTTTCTTTTTCAGAAACAAATCCTGTCTAACCCTGAATGCTAGAAAACTCCTTGTATCTGTGACTTTCCTTCCCTCCATTGACTACGGTGACATTATTTACATGAACGCTCCTACAAGAACCCTGCAGATGTTGGATGCTGTCTATCATGGTGCACTAAGATTCATAACTGGCTGTAACTACTGTACTCATCATTGCACCATCACTGGTTAACTGGACATCATTAACTTCACGCAGACTCTCTCACTGGTATATTTTCATCTTTAAATCACTTCTTGGTCTGTTGCCTTCATACATCTCCTCCTACATGTCTCTGTGTGAGTGCAGCTACAGCGTGCGCTCTCAGGACATTATTACCTGCAGTGTGTCCTCAGTGCGGACTGAACTAGGCAAAAGGGCCTTCTCCTTGTCCGCTCCTGTTTCCTGGAACATCTTGCAAAAAGACCTGAAGCTCTCGACCTTGACCTCTCTAAGTGGCTTTAAGAATCTGTTGGACTCCTGGCAGGGACCAATGCAGACATGTTCCTGTTTTTAGTTTTCTACATTCACTTTAGAATCTAGCTGTTTTTATGTTGCTTTTCTTTTTTTAGCCTTCCTGTTTGTTAAAAAAAAATAATAATTGTATGACTTTTTATAACTGTTTATTGTTGTTGCTGTTGTCCATTGTTGTCGTCATTCTTTGTTGAAATCAGGTCTCTCTTGTAAATGAGTCCTCGAGGCTCAATGGGATTTACCTGTCTAAATAAAGGTTGAATGAATTTAATGTTTAGCAGAATAAGCATCAGAGCTAATATGAGATCAAATGTATTTTATTATAATTTTTTGATGAGAATCAAGAATATCAGTATGTATAGTGTTGGATTTCATGTTAAGCAAACTACATTCTCATCTGTTCTGTGTGTGTGCGTGTCAGTCCCTGCATGTGTGATTGTGTGTGTGTGTGTGTGAGTGAGTGAGAACTTCTACTAGATTATAATTAGACAAACTACCTGAAGTTAATATTCTATTTAACTAAGTAATTCAAATCAAAGTAACTGATTAATATTTAAACGATTGTAAGGTAATTAAAGAAATTTCAAGCTTGATTAAAATAATGATAAAAGATAAAACATGAAATCCAACAATAGTTAATCTCAACGAGTGGACATCACGCCCTGTGAGATCTTAAACACACACATGACATCTGCACATTAGCTTGTTCAAAACAAAATGGAATACTTCCAGAGGATTGTTCCTCTTCTGGCTTTAAATGTGTACTTGTATGTTTGAGACCTACTCGTACCTCATCGATTACAGGCTTCAGGGTAACAGCCAGGTAACTCTTTCCAACAATTTTCATCATGTCATCGATGCAGCGGGTTGCCAGGGAGTTGCCACGGAATATAGTGTTAGCCTCCCTGGATAAATGAAACAATTACGCCCCAAATTATAAATGAAAAACACTCCAAAGAAGCTAAAATATCAGATTCCTCTCAGCTTATTTCTGTGTTGCTTCTTGTTTCATACTACATTTGGCTGTGAGTACTTAATTAAAGCTAGTAATTGATTTAAAAAAAGGAAGTAGTGTTATTTGATTATGCAACTGTTCTAACTTAAGAGGACTCACTGAGTATTCTCCAGTTCCAGCGCTGCCACGGCGGAGACAAAAGGCACGAATCGATTGTGATAGAGCAGCAGTCGAACCGTGGGTAGAACGGCCTCGTATCGCTCTCTGCAGATGTCTCCCAAGATGTGAGCTGCTGACGCTGAGATGGGCTGAAGGACAGGAGAAAATAATTAATCAAAAAAAGAAAATGTAAACCAACTGATGACGACAAAGGATAAAAATAAGGAAGTTATACAGAAAGCAAACTAGAAGGGGTATGTTTCATTTTATATTTAAATATTATCCATCTGAGGAAAGAATGAAGAGCCGAGGTAGGTTTGAAGAGACAATTCAACAAACTAGAGAAACTGCATTTCCTGTGAAAATGCAGAGTGAAAGCTTAATGCTGAAAAACAGCTGAAATTAGCTAAAAACATGCTGAAATGGAAGAACAAGAGTAAGTTAGCAGAAGAAAACAGAAAGAACACACATTTGCTGAATTTGGTTTAAATAAGAAGGAATTAGCACAAAAATTAGGACATTAGCTAAAAAAATTGAAATGTGCAAAAAATAACTGAAAAGGCAGAAACAAGCTAAAAATATCAGAAGGAATTGGAAGGAGCTGAAATGAGCTAAAATGTGGAAATAGCTGAAAATGCTAAATTTAGCATAAAACAGCTAGATAGTAGCTGAAATAGCAGAAAAAGCTGAAAAAAGCAGAAAAAAGCTGAAAAGAGCAAAACAAGCTGAAATGAGCAGAAATAAGTTGAAAATAGTGGAAATGAGCACAAAAAAGTAGAAATTATCCAAAAAAAAAAGGCGGACTCTAACACGCACTCAACACAACCACCAAAAACAGCTGAAAAGCAGCTTAAAAAATCTGTAAGGAGCCTAAATTACAAGAAATGGAGAGAGCAAATTTTTGCTGAATTAAGATGAAAAAGCTAAAATCAGCATAACAGCAGATAAATAGTAGCTGAAACAACTGAAACTAGCAGAAGCTGAAAGGAGCATAACAAGCTGAAATTGGCAAAAAGAAGTTAGAAGAAGCATAAAAATATTGTCATTAGCAGAAAGAATCTGAAGGGATCACAAACTAGCTGAAAAAAACAGCTGAAATTAGCTGAAAGTAGTTAAAAAATGTTTAGATTTGCACAAGGAAGCTGAAAGAAGCTGAAGCAGAACAAAATGTGAAAGGAGCAGTAAAAGGTTGTAAACAGATCTAAAGATTTTGACAGATGTAAAATGAGCTCAATTCATTTTCTATGAGGAAAAAATGGCAGAAAAGTCTAAATATTTCAAATAGTTAAAGCTGCAGCAATACCAAAAGTCATGGCAGGATTGTCCTGAAAGAGCTGAACATTTTGATTTATGACTTGTTGAAGCTTGAAAACTGCAGGACAAGAATCACGCCACAAAATGTACGGAAGAAAAATGGATCACAATAGTGTGAATGCTTCATAAACATTCACACAAATAGCAAACACAAGAAAAGCTGCGACCATGGCTGCGCACGATCTCATTATTGGACATGGAGCAACTTGAGCTGCCATGTTACCTTCACATCGGGGGATTTGAGCAGCAGGTTGCAGATTGGTGTGTAGCAAGCAGATGGCAGCACCGTGTCTTCAATGTAGGTCAGCTTCAAACGCATGGATCCCAAGTCTTCACATTTGGACTTGTTGCCGTTCCCTTTGGGCTGGAGGAGATACCTGTTGAAGCACAGGAAGGTGTAGAAAACTAGTTTTTATGTCATTCATCAAACAATTCCCTTTCATGGAAAACTGACATGACACTGTGGTATTTTCATTGATGATAAACTGATAGTTAAAAGAATAACTGTCTGTGTTTGTCAATGAGAAATTCACAACAAAAGCCTGAAACTACACACGAGAAATTTACTACAGCTTAAAGAAAATGGAGAATACTCGGAAAAAGAAAATCACACTGAGATGGTGATGAATCTGACCTAAAACCAGTTGTTTAACTAAATAAAAAAAGTTTAGATTAACATTAACAGAGCAACATTACGGCTGAAAATAAACATTTTTCCTAATATAACACAGAAAAGGAACACACTGCGTTGTTTACATTTGCAGTAGCTGATTCTTCCTGCCACTCGGGTGAAAAAGGAACTATTTCTATTTTAAAACGTCACATTTACAGACTCAAACTACAGAACTTCTCAGTAAACTCAAGGACCAATTTGGTGCAAAAACACCAAAAACCTGCTGTACATTAAATGACTGAGCAGTGGTTAAGACAAATATTTTTGCATACTTTAAGAAATTTCCCAAGTTGTACACAATCATGGCAAATGGCCTGAAAAGCTGTAGGAGCGTGGAAGTGGGTAAAAAAAAAAAAAAAATGTGAAGAAACAAAAATGTTCCTTAATATTCTCCTTTTCCAAAATTATTGAGAACTGAAAAATACTAAAAGCACATCCCACACTTTTACCTACTTCTAGGACAACCAAACCAAAATTCAGATTTATCAATCCATGTTATCGTCAGTGGCAACACCAATATTTATCCAACATTATCGACACCAGTAAAGTCCTGTAGCTCTGCTTTTTCTGTCAGATCCAACTCTATGGAGGAAAAAATCCTGCCGGCAATGTTTGCTTTGAAAACGTTTTTAACCACAGCCACCCATGTTGTTAATATTATTACAAACAGAATGTGAATGTGTACCATGCTATAAGAATGTCAGTGGTTCCCAACCCTGGCCCTTGAGGAACACCATCCTGCATGTTTTCGTTGTTTCCTTGCTCCAACACACCTGAATCAGTGATTTAATTACTTCCTCGTGTTCTGCAGAAGTCTGTTCATCACCCATTAATAAAATCAGGTGTGTCGGAGCAGAGAAACAACTAAAAGATGCAGGATGGCATTCCTCAAGGACCAGGGTTTGGAACCCCTAGAAGAAGTGATAAAAATTTGAGGCAAAAGGAAAAAAAAAAGCATTTTTACAAACACCCAATATGTTTTATTGAGCATGAGAGATTGTAGAAAACTAATTAAAAAAAAAGAAACATTTCTTGAAGGAGTGCACACCACTCGCTGCCTTGCAAGCCAAAGTTTTAAATAAAAATTTAGTGTCATCTTTTAGCGATTGGAATGTGCTGTAAATGACTCTCAGCAAACCAAAATTTTAGCATAATATCTGTAAAACTGTGTGAGTTGTAGCCATATTTGTGTTTGCACAGGTTGATTTACTGTAACGGCCATCTTGAATCAGGGTGACTCCAAAAGTTAATTGGTTGTAGATGTACATAATGTTTGATAACAAAGGTTAAGAAAATATTAACACATCTAGAAAGCTTTCCAGAGAAGCAATTGAAACCAGAAAAATAAGAGTTTTATAAAGATCTACTCGAAAGTCTAAAGCCAGCTGGTCTGCTTCACCTAATAAATCATAAAGCTGTCTCTTCTTTCTGCAGGTTAGTTGTGGACTGATGGGCTTCCATCTATCATTTAAGTTACTTCATATGAGCGTCTCTTCTTTCAGACTGCAGCTATACCTTTGTTTTTATCCTTCTAAGTATTTTAAGACCTGAGCTGGAAAATAAAATAATCAAATTGACAAAGTGTGATGATGAGATTAAATTAAAAAAAATGATCTCAACACCACACTTTGTCAATTTTCTTTATTTAAAACTTTCTATCTTTAGCAAAACAATGATGGCATGGAAATATTTCAGGAAACACTTTTTTAAAAGTTGTTACAGCTTATGCTTCTTTAAACGGAGTGTCTGGGGTCTTAGGCCCCGTTTACACCTGAACAACCTCTGGAAAAGTTGGTGTTTACTCAATGACTATTGTGACATAAATCTACTGTAGTTTCCATGCCAGGCAGAGTTGCCAGATCAGAAATGAAGAACTATCATACAGTCGCTTTAAAATTATTGTATTTTGACATGAACCATCATATGTGCTGAGTGAGGGTCACTTTCTCGAAGGGAGAGGGTTGTAGGATGAGGTGTGTATTGTGATTGGTGAATATGTGCACAGAGAAGAAGCTCACTGATGGGATCATGTATGTATATGATTATTGTATGCATATTTACATGTACAAATGTATATATACATGCATATGTGTACTTAGGTGTGTATTTATGTATATAGATTAATCATGAATGCAGTACTACCTACCACCTTGTGCATGTGCATATCGTCTTTTTCCAAATGTGTGTATTCTGCTTCTTTTTTGATTATTTCGCATGTGTTAAAAAGAGTAATTATGGTCATTTCTAAAAAGGCTAAAAGGCTAAAAAGGGTAATTATGCTTTATCTGGCAACACTGCGGTCAGGCTTCAACGACACGCACGTGCAGTCCCAAAACGAGAAACAAAGCGGTTACAATCAAAATGGTGACAACAGAAACCTTCATAGGTACAAGGACGAGGTTGGGCTGCGTAGAAAATGGTGAACAGCACAAACAGAACTTTGTTATCAGCTGTTGGGTAATGTCGTTCATCTGATCGCTCAAGCGTGGAAAAACCATTGACTGCAGATGCATGTAGTGAACACGCGCAACTTTAGACCTCTATGGGGGTGGTTCCGAAAAACCTCCACTCTTACACCTGGATTGAAAAACCTTCAATATCAAAGGAAACAAAAACTGTTGTTGTGAACGCAAACGTCCGAACGTCAGCAGAAAGTCAAGTAAACATGGCTTCAATGGTTTTAGAGCAAGTTGTCCATATATTTACTGAATCCAGATCCATTCAAAAGTCAACTGATTGTGCAAAAACTAATCCACGTCTGTGTCAAGTTGAACTGCAGCACTTCACGAGCACTTTTTCTAGCTTCGCGTATAAATGAATCTGTGATCAAAATACACAGACACTGGGACACTTCATCAGAACCCCCCTGTGCAGGTTTTACAAAGCCAATCGGACATTTTTTTTTGTGCAACATGGATTGTGAGGTAACACAGAACATGAGGTAACGCCGCCATGCAAAGAGCCACCCACGCAAAGAGCCACCCACGCACTGCATTCACGGCCTTCATGTACCAACAGATTGCTATCTGGCACAATCTCATATTACCTACACCGACACAAAGCTGGGACACATCCACACAGAGAAAAAAATCTGCTGAACAAAGAAATCTGCAGAGGTTCTTTAAATCACCTTGTTGTGGATGTGAGAACTTGGCAGAACATGCTGTTCTAAATGATGCGCGAGTTTAAGGAACTGCTCTACAAAAGCTACAAGGAAGAGGATTGGGACATATTAATTGGTTGTAAACAATCAAATACAGTTTTAAAAGAACATATTTAACAAAGAGTCTGATTTAACGTATTAACTCAACTTCTTTTACTTATCAAAACCCCCTAATTCAATCTAAAAAAACACCCCAAATATTAGAAAGCAACAGTGTGGGATACAAATAAACAATGATTAATGTGCACACCCTCCCATGGAGGTGGCCTTCTGTCTTCTCAGGCTTGGCTCAACCACCCAACACTTTTAGTCTGGTCCATCTCCTGGGGCCAGATCATCATGGTAGACCCTACCAAGGACTAACAGCCCAGAAAACAGTACCTACAGCCCTAGGGGCACTCAAACCACACGATAAATCCACCATGTTTAGGTTGATGCTGAACTGAGAGTCTGAGGCCTTGGTTCTCAGCCGAAAGTTGGAATGCTCCCTCTATGTGAGGAATACAAGTACAATACTTGGCGGTTCAACTTTCGTGGACTTGCTGTTTCACGGGTTTTCATTCTAAGATTGAACACGACACAAGCTTGTCAACTTTAATATTATTCACGTGATAGGGACAGTACAAGATAAAAAGTTAATAGGAGCGGACAGGAGCGGAAACCAACCAATTGGACAAAAAAAATTAAAAAATCCTTTTGCCAGGCACCACCATTTTGTAATTTTCTTTCAATAAGCCTACAGTCAAAAGAACTACACGGCACAGAAGCCAACAGTGCTGCTGGACGCTGCTTTCTGCTAAAATTCAAAGAACAGCAATGGAGGTATAAAACACTAGTGGAGAAACCGATATGGAAAAATAGTTTTGCAATTCAAAGTCAGAAGTAATGATGTATCTATGAAGATCACAGAACTGGCAGGAAAGTCACAAATAATCCTGAAGCTGAACTCATCCTTCAAGTTGTAGTATCTTCACTGGTGAGTACCCATATAAAATATTGCAGCACTGTACAGTACATATACGTATGTTGTTCAAATTATGTAGGTTTAAGAGTTTAGAACATTGTTAAGAAGATTGCAAGAGTGTGGGAAGGGTTTATAAAGCCATAAAATATATATAATTACTAAAATAAATATAATGTCCCTACTTGGTGGATTTTCACCTATCGCGGGGATGCCTGGAACATAAACCCCACGGGACTACTGTATCTTGTTCACAAATGATGTTGTAGTGGAGAAGGAGACGGGGGGACAAATTGGGGCTTTGCCTGCAATAATGACAGTGTTGCTCTGGTTTGTTGCAGTGAAGCAGCAGAGTCAAACGCTCTCGATTTACTGGTCTACGTTCTAAGCCTCACTTGTGGGTATGAGGCTTGAATTATGACCGAAAAAACAAGAGTCCAGATACAAGCTGCTGAAATCATCTTTCTTTGTAGGGTGGCTGAGCTCAGTTAAAAACAAAAATCCTGTGGCAGACTAAAAGCTCACTGGTGGGATTATGTATCCTCTTTGGCCTGGGAACACCTGGGGACCCCCCTGGAGAAGCTGGATAGTGTCACTGTTGAAAAGGATGTCTGAGTTTTCCTCCTGGAATCGTTGCCTCTTCAACCAGACCGTAAATAAGCAGCAGAAAACAGAGGGATGGATGCATTTAGATCTGAACATTGTAATCATCAGAGTGGAGCAAAAGAAATATGTACACAGAGCTGCAGGTTTGAAACAACCAACGTCAGGAAAAAGAGTTGTTTGATCCGAGATCTGCTGCCGTTTGCGTTTGTTTGAAATGTATTATTTTGCAGAAGATACAAAAGGCTTTAAACAGTTATTCAAACTTCTAGATAAGAGCAAAACCTTTATCTAGATCTGTCTAGTTCCTACCAGGCTTTGTGAATGTGGTCATTTCTCAGGATCTTGACAGGAACTCGCATCTCCCCGAGAAACACATCCTGAGCCAGATTTTCGTTGTTCCACAGATCCACTCTACAACAAAAAGAAAAGGTAACATCAGCTGATCATGCATCTATGAAAGCATCATTCGGTCATATGTGCCAGACGTGAAGTAGTCATCGTGTAGGCTCCACACAAACATAAACCACCCGATTCTAGTTTAGCAAGAGGGATTCAAAAACATGTCAGGAAGTGGTGCTTACCTGCTTCATGCAGAAAAGCAAACATAATATCAGTGCAATGACACCACCTCAGGTCCAAACCTCAAAACCATGCACAAGTTACCTTTGAATATGCCTACTCTTACCAGAGTCCACTGTGACGGAGGCATCAAATATCCTTAACCAGAAAACAAGGCTCTCTATCAGCAGTCAGAACACACCAGATCTACATTCACTTTATTTTCCTCAAACTGAAGAGAAATATTTTTTCCTGTCAACTTTAGACGGGGAACAGAACTGTATAGTGTGCAGATAAAACACAACTCACTTGATTTCAAGCTTTTCAATATCCTCCTTCTCCACATGGAAGTCAGACTTTTTAGAGTAGCTGCTTGACCGCGTGACCTGAGGACAAACAAGTCAGCACTTACTCATGAGGTTGTGTGTATACATAGTGTCTTAAATGTCTCTTTTTTTTGTTTGGAGTGGTCCATCAACAGTGTGGACTATTTAAACCTATAATACTTCAGAGTCTACCTCAAAAAAGAAGGTCTCTTCAAAATGAGGATTGCTGGTTTTCTTCTTAACTTTTGTTTTCTTTTGATCTGACCTGCGAAAATATAATCCAGAAAACATCATCAACAACTTCAACAATAATATCCAAGTACGCAGCTCATGTAAAACGGCCAAAATGTGACCAAGGAACTTAGATGTACAGTAATGTGTAAAAGTTTTAAACCACCCCTAATTTCTCTACAGTAGTCCCTCGCTACTTCGCAGTTCGACTTTCGCAGTTTTTCAACTTTAGATTGTACACGACACATGACTGTCAACTTTAATATTACGCACATGATTGGGATGGTACGAGATAAAAAGTTAACGAAAAAAACTTTGTGGACAGTAGGGCTGGACAATAATTCGATATCGGTATATATCATGATATAATTTTATTCAATAACGGTGATATGAGTTTTAAGCACATTTTTGATATTTCGATATGATTACAGCGTTTCATTAACGCATTTCTTTTTCTGTTCAGGTTGAAGCAGCCGCTTCAGTTTCAACCTGAACAGAAAAAGCTGCGACACAACTGCATAAGTGCGTGGTGATGTACACCACAGCTCAAAGGAGTCAGCGGTAGCAGGCTAGGCTAACCTCCAATGCGAGGTAAGTTTTCGCTTCAAAATGATGCCGATGATCGTCAGAATGTGACTGAACAAGCTTTCACAAGCGAAGAGAAAGCAGATGAAATGATTGATAAGAGAGGAAAGACTAATTTGGCGGTGTGGAAGTGGTTCGGCTATCTAAGTGTGCTGCAAAATGTGACGGAGAGTCGTTCCAACTAGCAGTGGGAACACATCGAACTTGTTTCGTCTGAAGAGTTTCCAATCGATAGAATATGCTGAGAGTCAGAAGCTGAAGCACAATAAAAGTTTGAGCGAACATGTCTCTGAAACAACACCCCCAGCTGTATCAAAAGAGAAACCCATGTGCTGCATGTGTTAGGGTTATGTTGTTTAAACTAGGGGTGCACCAATTGCAGTTTTCTGACCAATCACCGATTTCTAAAAAGTCTGACTTGCCGATTCCGATTTTGTTTCATAATCGACACTGTCAGGCATTATAAGGTCACAATGCCCCTTCAATTTTCCTATATTTTGTTGAAAAACATATCCTTGAACCATATCCTAGAAACAATACAAACTTGTTTTAACTAGCCATGAGGTAGTGCTCTGAAATATAAATGAAGTTTAGACAATTGTAGTTAAAACAAAAAAAATCAGTAAAATTGGTTTCTCATGCAAGTATCGACCAATTTCCGATTTCCTAAAATTAAGGAAGTCGGGGCTGATAAATCAGCGCACCCCTAGTTTAAAGTTAAAACTGTTAATTTTGACAAAGTTGAGAGTTTTATGTTTGACGGTGATTTCAAATTTTTTGAAGGCTAAATACAAATAAAAGGTGAACATTAATTTATTTGTACAGTTTTTCTGAGGCTTTTATATTGTTTATATCGATATCAGAATTATATCGTTATCGACTAAAATTAAGAAATATATTGTGATAAAAGTTTTGGCCATATCGTCCAGTCCTAGTGGACAGGTGCCACTATTTTGTAGTTTTCTTTCAATAAGCCTACATTGTAACGCAAGCCAAAAGAACTACACGGCCCAGAAGCTTTCTGCAGAAACGGAGGGAAAGTTTTGCAACGCAAAGTCCGAAGTAACAATCTCTCTATGAAGCTCACAGAACTGGCAGGGAAGTCGCAAATAATCCTGAAGCTCAATTATCCACGCACATATCAACCTGGACGGGGTGGTGGGCTTCGTCGCTGTAGGGTAGGTCTGCAGAACTGGAACTGAGCCTGACCAGAACAGAGCTGCTGGTCTGCAGAGCTGGTGAGTAAAATTTTGTAGTACTTTACAGTACATATATGTATGTTGTTAAAATTACATAGGTTTAAGAGTTTAAAACATTGCTAGAGTGTGGGAAGGGTTTATAAAGCCTTAAAATATACATAAATACTAAAATAAATATTGTTCCTACTTTGCATTGTTTCACCTGTAACGGTGGTGTCTGGAACGTAGCCCCTGCGATAATCAAGGGACTACTGTAGTTTGATTCCAGTGAGCCAGACTTTCTTGTTTACTTTTAAACTGGTCTTGATCAGTAGTTTCAGGCTTTCTGAAAGTCAAACTTATTTATTTATTTTAACTTGGGCTACTTTTTTTCAGTCATCTTCTTTTTACTCTAAAGTTGCTTATGGGGTCACATTGTTGGTGCTACAATATTATTGTGTGCTTAATCTTTGGTGTTTTTTATAGATTTTTTTAAAATAAATTTCTCTTTTTTTAATTCTGATGCTGTTGTTCTTAACAACTCTCTGTTAGTGAGAGGCTGCTGGGAACAAAGAGTTTAAAAATCAAATAAAAACAGGTTCTTTGCCAAATTGTCTGGTATGTGTCGACACAACACCGATTCATCCCTTGAGTTTAGATTTTTATTTTCTGAATGAGTCCTACATCAGAATTAAGTGGTTTCAAAACAAAAACATGCATGTGAAAATGGTCACATATTAAACTGAACAATCATGAAAAAGAAAACTTCAAAATCAAGTAAGAACAAGGTAACCTACTCATACAATGTGTATACAGTAGTCCCTCAATACTTTGCAGTTCGACTTTCATGGACTCGCTCTTTTGCGGGTTTTCAATGTAAGATTGTACACGACACACGATTGGCGATGGGGAAAGACAGACCCCAAGCTGCCCCCTCCAGACAGCCTCAGAAAGAGAAAGGAGGGGGTGTCTGTCTTATACCTGAGTGAGCTGCACTCAGCCACTATGTCTTTTTAAAAACTAATTCACTCTTAGACAATCTTAGGGGTCGAGACAGTGTAGACGCAGGACAGTCGACTCGGGACCCAAAGGTCCCGGGTTCTCCTGGATCCCCAGTCATTGCACACCTCGTGGCGTCTCTGAGCAGGACACCTCATGCCCAATTGCTCCCCGGACGCTTTCAATAGCTGCCCACTGCTTCATCTGGATGTGGAGGGGTTAAATGCAGAAAGACAATTTCGCCATTGTATGGGAACATACGATGACAATACATAGCACATTATTAACATTATTTTTCCACGTAAGCATTTTCACCGATATTCTACATTTGTTCATCTGCACCCCTCCTTTCTTTGTTTCTTTTCCTTTCTAAGATTGACTAAATTTAATTTTAGGACACAGGACAGAGTCTATCATTGTCGACTGGTGTGTGTGTGCATATGTAAAATACCATAGTGTTTTACACATGGTCAAATACAAACAAATTAGGACAAAAGGTAATGAACTTAATGATAGATGTCATTTTTCGTAGTTTAGTAGATTTGTTCTGTACTCAGAGGACAGACATCAGCAACAGCACAGTGGAAAAATACAGTGCCTTGCAAAAGTATTCGTCCCCCTTGAACTTTTCAACCTTTTGCCACATTTCAGGCTTCAAACATAAAGATATAAAATTTTAATTTTTTGTGAAGAATCAACAAGACAACTGGACTTTGTCTTGGCCATTCCAACACCTGGATAGGTTTATTTGTGAACCATTCCATTGTAGATGTGTCTTTATGTTTTGGATCATTGTCTTGTTGGAAGATAAATCTCCGTCCCAGTCTCAGGTCTCTTGCAGACTCAAACAGGTTTTCTTCCAGAATGGTCCTGTATTTGGCCCCATCCATCTTCCCATCAATTCTGACCATCTTCCCTGTCCCTGCTGACGAAAAGCAGGCCCAAACCATGATGCTGCCACCACCATGTTTGACAGTGGGGATGGTGTGTTCAGGGTGATGAGCTGTGTTGCTTTTACACCAAACATATCGTTTTGCATTGTGGCCAAACAGTTTGATTTTGGTTTCATGTGACCAGAGCACCTTCTTCCACATGTTTGGTGTGTCCCAGGTGCTTGTGACAAACTTTAAACACTTTTTATGGATATCTTTGAGAAATGTCTTTCTTCTTGCCACTCTTCCATAAAGGCCAGATTTGTGCAGTGTACGACTGATTGTTGTCCTATGGACAGACTCTCCCACCTCAGCTGTAGATCTCTGCAGTTCATCCAGAGTGATCATGGGCCTCTTGGCTGCATCTCTGATCAGTCTTCTTCTTGTTCCAGATGAAAGTTTAGAGGGACGGCCGGGTCTTGGTAGATTTGCAGTGGTCTGATACTCCTTCCATTTCAATATGATTGCTTGTACAGTGCTCCTTGGGGTATTTAAAGCTTGGGAAATTTTTTTGTATCCAAATCCGGATTTAAATTTCTCCACAACAGTATCTCAGACCTGCCTGGTGTGTTTCTTGGTCTTCATGATGCTCTCTGCGCTTTGAACAGAACCCTGAGACTATCACAGAGCAGGTGCATTTATACGGAGACTTGATTACACACAGGTGGATTCTATTTATCATCATCAGTCATTTGGGACAACATTGGATCATTCATAGATCCTCACTGAACTTCTGGAGTGAGTTTGCTGCACTGAAAGTAAAGAGGCCCAATAATATTGAACGCCCCACTTTTCAGTTTTTATTTGTTAAAAAAGTTTGACACATCCAATAAATTTCATTCCACTTCACGATTGTGTCCCACTTGTTGTTGATTCTTCACAAAAAATTAAAATTTTATATCTTTATGTTTGAAGCCTGAAATGTGGCAAAAGGTTGAAAAGTTCAAGGGGGTGAATACTTTCACAAGGCACTGTAATTAGTGTGTTAGCAGTAAAAATAAACAAAACATTTATAAAAAAAAAAATGCAAATCTGATGAGCATGCTGTCAGGAGAGCATGTCTCTCTTTTTTGTGTCTCAGTGTGGCATTAACAGAGTTACCTGGCAGGTCCAACGAGAGACACTGTGGCATAAGGGTCACAGTTCTGGCCGCTGATCAAAGGCAAGTCCTTGCACTCTATTATTCTACAGGAGTTCATGCAAAAATAAAGAGAAATAAAAACAGAATTACAATGAGGAAGATGAGATCTTTAACACGGCATTAAACCATTTATAGCTGAATAAAAAAACTTTATATCACACTTCATTCAATGTGTTTTGATATGATTTTATTTATTAACCTTTATTTAACCAGGAAAAATCCCATTGAGATCACAGATCTCTTTTGCAAGGGAGGCCTGGACCTGAAGGCAGACTAACATGCACGTTTCTGATCTGTGGGAGGAAACCAGAGTACCCAGAGAAAACCCACGCAAGCACGAGAAGAACATGCAAACTCCACACACAAAAGACCCCAGGTCCAACCGGGGATTGAACCCAGGACCTTCTTGCTGTGAAGCAACAGTGCTAACCACTGATCCATCGTGCTTTAAGTTAACAGACTTTGAGGGAGAAGACTGCTGGGTCAGGGGAGCACAATAAAAAGATAAATAGCCTCTTGTTGGTTCAACAGATGCTTACTGAAAATACCGTAACCACCAACAACCCCACACTGTCGCACCTAAAAGGAGAAGCTTTTCAAAAACAGGAATGGTGCAAACGTGTTTTGTTAAGCAAATTTAGAAACAATAAATGTTTCCGTATGCCTAATTTTGGACCAGACCATTCCATAAAAGCAAGTATTAAAAGTTTTTGTCACTAAAAAACCCACAACAGGACGAGCAATCTCTCCGTCTTAACACAGCCTCAAATGTAAAAGGTTAATTTACATTTCAGCAGAAATGGGTTTAAAATACTTCATTAGAACATCAAGGTCCTAATGAAGCTTGTTGTATTGTCATTAACAGAATCTGTGTTCATTAATATCAGGATTAGTATAAAGCGTGTATGAATGTGAAACAGCCCCAGACTGCTCGTTTCCGTTACAGTCGTTGCCTATAAGCTTTGCCCTCATGTTTGACTGTGGTCACACTGGGACCATTGCATTTTTTTTTCCAGGAGTGTTTCAGGTGACAACAAACAGACACTGTAGGCACCTTAAACAGGATGTGGCTGCTAAGCAGGAGCCACCAGAGGATAAGAATGAATTCAGCCCTTTGCTAAGTGAGGCCGCAGGGACAAGCCAAGCAGCCAAATGTCAGGATGTTTGTCTGTAATCTTCCAGGGTGTCATGACGATATTCCCTGCAGGCTTTTGTGTGTTAACCCCTCTTGTGACTGATCAAAGAAGGTGTGCGCGTAAAAAATAGACATCTTGGATTTCACTTTTGCAGTGATTAAAAAAAATAAAATAAAAATGAATGAAAAAAAAGTGAGTGTGTGATGTGTGCGCTGGTGGTGGGAAGCGTGTCAGTTTGAGCAAACAATCTGAGTGACAGTGAATGAGAGCAGAAGAAAACCACAGTGGTTGCAGTGTGAGAAGCGCACACTTCCTGCTCAGATGCCATCACTTCCTCCTCATTACAGCGCTCTGTAAGTATGAATGGGGGAAGGTGCAAAACAGCATACGTACACAGGCCTGCCATGTGTGACATCTGCACAAATACACTTCACAACTTAACTCCCTCTTTTTAACCATCCTCTTACAGAGCAACATGCTCGTAAATATGACTGACGTTTTGATGCAAAACAAAAACTTCTGAAGCAACAGTAACAGATAATATGAACAAAAAAAGCTACAGAGAATTGAAACAGGCAGTTAATGCACTTTTACAGCACATTTTATATCATAAGGTTGATAAGTGTTGTGCTCACAAACATCTGACCTCACGAAACTCATGATTCCAATTTGCATGTAGCACAGAGCGAGCACATGCTCCGGCCTTCTTACTGAATTTGACTAGATGCGGTCAGTGCTGTTCCGAAGTGGAAAAAAAGACTTCGTATTTTTAGTTTAGATTTTCTACAAAAGCTGTTTTCACAGGTGAAAAGGGCTAAAATATAATCCACATGTATTTTAAACATTCCTGTTAAAAAAAAATTAAAAAAAGGACTAATTGGTTTATTTTTTTACCATTTCAGTGTCTGTTTGTCTATGTCTGGTAAAACCAAAAGGACACACTCATTTACGCCTAAGAATTTATGTAAAAATACATCTGATGTACACCAGATTTAAAAATTAGGTTTACATAGCCTCATGCAAACAAAACACATACATTCAACTGGCGGCCCCGGGGCCAAATCAGGCCCACGGATGAAGTCAGTTCAGCCCACCAATGGGTTCATTTTTAAATAAAACTACATTTTAAACCATAAAACAAACTTATTTAATGACAATAACTGCTGGATGTCCGGCTCCTGAGCTCTTGGCTTCTGGTAACTGAGGCCCCTGAGCTGTTTAGTTGAATAGTCCTGACATAACGTTTTCATGAAAGTTCTTTAGAATCGTTTGTGGCTTTTTCCTGCTTTGAAGGCATCGATGAATTGAAATTTTTAAAGTGTTCGGCTGCTGCTTACAGGGAAGCAAATGATGGTTCAAGGTTTAAGGAGTTTGAATAAAATGTTTTTATCTTTTACTTCAAATTGTTTGAAGATCTGTTCATTTTCTCATTCACTGAAGCTTTCATGTTGTTTTATTACTCAGGACAGTTTCATTTTTAAAAATCACTTTGGTTATGATTTGACCCTCAGCCATATGATTAATTGAATCATTCTTACAATTGTCCCATCATTTAAAATTACATGCGAGGTGTCAAAACTAGAAAACAACTAATCAGACCAGACCTTTTTGTGAAGAGGAAATCTTGTAACTTACCGGACTAATAACTGTTGACCTGTTGAGCCGTTCTCTGTGATCACTTCATTCAGTCGCATCTCCAGGTGAACTTTCCCCTGTTCATAATGAAAAACTAAGTTTTAGTGGTTAGTTCCGATCTCTGGCACAAGAATCCCTAATAACGTTACGAACAATGAATAGCTTACCTGCTGTAGATAGACCTTTGAACAACCTCACTTTGTAAAAACAGTTAAATTCTGACTGCACGGACGAGCTAAATCGACAATTTTGCATTACAAGGTCATTTAAATAAAAACATTTGCTCAACTAGGAGCACAAACAGCAGCAGATAGCTGTAGCACTTCCAGTGGAGTTTGATGCACTTTCTGCAAAAATGTTTTTAAAGTTCTGCTGGAAATAACCATGTAATGAAAAACTATTGGTGATGCAAAATTATAATTTAAACCTTTGAGCTTTGCTGTAAGACAACAGAAATCCATTTTAGGCCACTGCAAACAGAACTTATCTATCAAAACTAAACTTTTTTCTCTTTCCACAAACTGAGACTGCTCAAAGACCATTTAAAACCAAGAAGAAAAAATGCTCATAACCGTTTCACAGAATCCCACTTGAAAAAAAACTGAACTACTGCTTTAAACTCAAACACAATTTTAAAAGTTTCAGACCAAATCCAACATAAAAAAAAAACAAGACCAAAACAAGGACTGCAGCAAGACGCCTACGCAAAATACTCTGTGTATTTTATTTGTACGCACATCTTTGTCATTTTTAAAACTTGCTTTTCAGTCTTCATTTGTTAGAAAAAGACCTACTGCCTTGCTGCAAATCATTTCTCATTTATAAAAAAAAACAAGCGAGGATAAAATATGTGACATGCGCCACGACATCTGTGAGTTTTGTCATGTCTCAAAAGGATCTACACGGGGTCGGATGTGGTGAAGGTTGCAGGTCTCGCCTTCGGAAGTGTCAGAGAGATAGAAAAAGAGCTCAACCGCCCACACACACGGACTCTTGTCTCTGCAGTTCAGCACTTGGCTGACAAAGCAAGTACTTCTTTCTGATGCAAGAAAGGCCTTAATGCCAAGATAACCACTTTAGAAAGGTCCAAATAAGCCAAGATCTCCAGTAAATAAACCCACAGCATAATAATGCATATGATCAAGAAACATTAGCTTGGTTAAAAAACATTATAATTTCCTGTGTTAAATAAGCGAGTTGACAGGGTGCTGACAAAGCTCCTGTTTGGCAACTAACCAAAGCAGACTGGCAGTGCATTCACACCTCCGTCGCTCACTGATGTAACTTTGCAGAGGAAAGTGTCTACTTGTGAGTGAATCAGTGCTGCAGCACAGACCCAGAATAGACCGGCGTGGGCTAATGGCAGCTAGAGTCAACATGGTAGCTACAGCAAAGAAGCTGCATTTCTTTCATCAAACACACCACATAAACATTATATGAGCTAATACATGCTCTTTACACAGCTTTGCAAATGAATAAATAAATAACACATTACAGACACCATACCTGTGCCCAAAACAGCCATCAGAGTCAGATCTCAAATGTCTATTGAAGTACTTATATGTACGTTTTCAAAAAGAGGCAGCAACTAGCAGAAATAATAAAAGAGAAGAAACAGAAGAAAATGAGTCTGTATGAGAAGGCACTCGCTCGGCATCTCTTCACTGGGCTACACTCTGACCTGCCCTGTGGTGGGAGGCCTGGGGTAACTTCCTCTGCAGGTATCGGAGTGTAGTCTGCATAAGCAAACAAAGTTCAGCTGAACTTAATGACACATGTCCAACCACATCGTCTGATTCAACCAAAGACGGTCACAAATATTAAGCCTGGATGGCATCATTCAAGAAATAAACCAATCCTCCCAAAATAAGAAGAATAAAGTTGGCTAAGAACCATCTACATTACACAGAGATGGACCAGACCAAAGATTTTTTATAACAGGTGAGTAAAAGTTCAAGAATTTACTAAAATTAAAACTGTACCAAATATCTAAAAAGAAAACACTAAAATCAATATTTAACTAAAATGGGAAATATCCAATTAAGTGATAGCATTCAGGACTTCTTCGCACTACTCTAGATATTTTTAAAAACAGGTAATTTCCACTGTATTTGAACTTCCTGAGGGAAAAAAAAAAAGATGTTCAAAAATAAATCAAAGTGAACATGCTGAAAAAAAAACCCCACTTCTTGGTGAATTCATGTGTAATCAAATTATGACGCTCTCAACAAAGATGGTAGCAGGTGGTTAAGCACATCCCCACTATCATGTTGTGTCCAAGACGCCTAAAGAACAAGGGAACTGTTTTCTACGCCTGTGCCATTGCATCCTGACCTTGTTCTTGTTTACTGTAGATTGGGACTGAAATGAGTAAAAATGGGGAATAAATTGTAAACAATGTCCAAGAAAACAATATAGCTACAAATGTTTAGAGAAAACTTCCAAGTTAAACCAAACATGCTGTTTCTCTGCATTTTAATGTCATTACTGTGAACATCGTTGCCACCCAGAGGTGCGGTGTAGGCATTTCATTGTTTTTGTTAGAATAATGTACGAGACAGAAAAATACACATCCATCCATTATCTTTTACCCGCTTCTTCCATTTTGGGTCACGAGGGTCGCCGGTGTCCATGTCCAGCAATCACTGTGCGAGGGGCGGAGTACAACCTGGACGGGTCGCAAGTCCATCACAGGGACACTTAGAGACAAACAAACAACCATTCACTCTCTCTCTCACACCTTGGGACAATTTCGAGTTACCAATCAGCCTAACATGCATGTTTTTGGTCTGTGGGAGGAAACTGGAGTACCCGGAGAAAATCCACACATGCACGGAGAGAACATGCAAACTCCACCCAGAAAGGCCCCCAGACCGGGATTTGAACCAGGGACCCGTGTGCTGAGAGGCAGCAGTTCTAAAAATAAACATACGTAAATGAAAAATGAATACACTATACATGCACACATTCAAAACAAACATCTAGAATAGTGAAAATGGGACAGTTTGACCAATCCAGGTCTTTCAATGGACGATGCCGATCTTCAGACATCAGTAGAGGCAGGCAAAAAGTATAATTGCGTGCGATTTAGTGATTTATTTGTGGGGCTTGATGTGGATCAGTACATGTTTATGTGTTAACAGGTAATAAAGGTATGGCAGCACGACGGCTCAGTGGTTAGCACTGTTACCTCACAGCAAGAAGGTCCTGGGTTCAATCCCCAGTTGTGGTGGTATAATAAATAACTCTTAACTGTATTTATAATAGTTTTATTGCACCTGAAAACTTTTTTCCTCTCCTTCTTTTGCCACATTGAACTAACTCGCATGAAGACTTGGCAATTGTGTTTACATCGGATGCACTTCCCGACACAATTACAGACCACCGAGCTACCACAGCCCTCTCTGTGGAGCAGAGAGCTGCTCTCTATGGTGACAAGGGGAGCAGATGGTGGGGGTTAATGAGCTTACTCAAGGGCCGAGAGGGGCAAATGAGGGTGGAGGCAGGTGTGGGTGCTTCACCTATCCCACCCACATTTTGATGTTGATGGTACTGGGAGTTGAACCGGCGATCTTCCGATCACAGGCTCACCCTCTCTAACCTCTGCGCCACCACTCTCACTCGGGTGGGAGGGAGTGGTGGCGTGTTATTGCACCTGAAAACAATAAGGATAATTATCATCAGGTTGACACAAACACAACCTTTTCCTTCACCTGGATTACTGTCTGCTCTGCTGTTCGTGTCCAGCTTCATTTGTCCAACAGGGCCACAGCTGCAGCTCAAATACTGTAGCAAAGATTTTTTTTTTTAGGATTAGTATTTTTTATTTATTAACATTTAACCAGGCAAATCCCACTGAGATCACAGATCTATTTTGCAAGGGAGGCCTGACGGCAGCCTAACATGCATGTGGGAGGAAACCGGAGTACCAGGAGAAAACCCGCAAACACAAGGGGAACATGCCAGCTCCACACAGAAAGACCCCAAGTCCAAACTGGGGTTTGAACCCAGTACCTTCTTGGTGTGTGGCAACAGTGCTAACCACTAAACTATTGTGCTGCCCCAACCTCAATCAAGATGGCTGCCACAGCTCAATGACCTAAGCAATCACATTTTAGGTAGGTTCTAGATTTAAAAACACTTGTGAGTTACTTTATAAAACATTGATACTTTCCTAGAAATTACCTGAACTTCTGAGTTAGGATCAACAGTCTGGAGGCTAAACCAGTTCTCCTTCCCGCTGTATTTACATAGGTCATCCTTCCGGATTGACACCTTGCCTAGGAAGAAAAAAAAAACAAAGAAAAAAACCCAACAGGATGTGAAACAATAATTGAGCCACAACACTTCCATTCAGATTAGACAGGCTGTCTTTTTTTTAACATGACTTACCAACGGGTAGGTCCCTCTGAAAAACAGCCTTGGCATAAACGTAGAAGGATAAACACTGAAATGGGCGTGGGATCTCAAAGTAGAAATTTTCTCCATAGAAAGGGCTGAAACAGAAACATATTTTGGGATTATCGTGGGAAATAAATACCAGCATGAAGAGAAAACTCATTATCGTTCACTGCCAAAATAGGTGGGCAATAATGTAACTGTATGTTAACATTCTCCATATACAAGTCTAATTTATGACAATAATGAAGCCGATCAACACCATAACTTCTTGTTCTTGCTGATTTTAGGAAAGTCAAGAAAAATTTATAAAGCATTTATTTTAATACATAAATTAAGCACCATAAAGGACAGTACTGCAACTAGTTCTATCATTTATTTAACCAAATTCTATACATGACAAAAAAACAAACAAAAAAACCCAGACATTTACGGTAAGGCAATAACTGAGATAAAAGGGAATAATATGTTCTCAAGAATTTGTGGAAAAAACATGCATTTCAACCTAAACTGCTTGGACATGATCATTATGAGCTATATTTACAGTTTGATTTCTCATTGCCACCACGAACCCAACATTTATTAAAGTAGTGAAAACTGAGGAGCCCGAACAGAAGGTGGACATCACAGGGGGCCCTTATGACTCATTGGGGTTGTGGTAAACGTTGTCAGTACGCAGAGATAGAAAATATGTCCCCATTGCCGTCTACTCGCCTCGAAACCTTTCCGTACAACCATGTTGATATAGAGGTTCTATATTCAAATGTTCTGAGTCATTATTTAACAAAAAAATAAAACAGAGTTAACAAAACGTTTTGTTTGTTTTAAAATTGAGAAAACAGGTTTCTTTTGACTCCTCCCTTCTGCAGAGGCAGCCACAGCAAGTGAACTCGCTTGAAAGATTTGCGAGTTGTTTTACGCCGAATGCCCTTCCTGATGCAAATGGGGCTTGAACCTGTAGCTCCAGGATTACAAGGCCACAGCACTTAACCACTGAGCTACCAAGTTACACTGCAAGACAGTATGTAAGAATTGTTTTGGGTGGTGAAATTTTGTCTGAATAGCACAATATTCAGGCTATAACGAAAATTAGGTGACCAAAGCTTTTATGAAATAATATGAAAAAGGCTCTTATCACTGAGGCAATTGGAAGTTTTGCAGTCACATGTGACGTAAAGATTTACAAAACAATGCATTTTTGCTGGTATTCATGCCTCAGGGCAAAATTATACTTTCTAATTCAACTATGTGGATGGAAGCTAGAAGAACCAGAAAATGACAAATGAGAAAGAACTGAAAACTCCAAAAAATAAACAGAATGAGCTAAAATAACATTCAGCTTGGATACGAATTGTTAAATATCAATCAGCTTTAGCCTTGGCTCCAGTCAAACTTACTGTTGGCTCTTGGCCTTGCTCTGGAGAAACAAAGTTTAATTATCACCGAATTAAAGAGCTACCTACAACAGGTAAGCCAATAAGCGATTTTGTAGTTACAAGTGCACACAACTGCTCCTAACTCTTCCACGACACAAGTCATTTGAGATAAACACCGAGGTTGCGCTGTAAACATCAGAATAAAACAAATTCAGCAGCAGTTATACAGATCCAATGTATGTGCTTGAAACTGATATCTGCTTTCTAGATCAACGTTGAGGTTTTTCATGTTGACCAATGAATCTTCTTTGGAACCATGTTTTGGTAGCATTTTTGTTGCCAGGGTAGAGAGTGTACAGTGTACAGTAGTCCATCGCTACTTTGCGGTTCGACTTTCGCGGACTCAGTATATCGCCGTTTGTCAACGCACATTAACTTTTTTTTTTTATTGTACAGGACACACGATTGTCAACTTCAATACTACTCATGTGATTGGGACAGTACGGGATACTAACAAAAAATAAAATACTTCAGACAGGCGCCACCATTTTGTAGTTTTCTCTCAGTAAGACTACACTAAAACAACATTTCCCACAAGCCAACAGGGCCCAGCCCAGAAGCCTGGTTTCCTTCTGCTGAAATACTAGAGGGAAAGTTTTGATCTGATCTGAGCAGATGCAGAGAAGCTGCAGGGAACCCATCGAACCGGACCAGAACCAGAGCAGAACCAGACTTCCAGACTCATCAGTGAATTTTGAGAGCTGATAGCCGGCCCATGGGGACTTCCGAGCAGGGACACACCGCCGTAGATCCGGGGCTCCATCAGGAGCCCATCGGGACTTTTTTCATCCAGACTTTGACTCAATCGACCACCTCTGGTCCCGCACCGGCCAACCGAAGGTCTGGCCCCGCTCCACTATGTGTTTTGGCCCTCAAGGGCTGCACTGAACCAGACCAGAACTGGACTTCCAGACTCAGTGGTGAACCCGAGAGATCCTAGCCGGCCCACAAGAACTTCCGGGTGGGCCGCGCGATGCCAAAGGTCCGGCGCTCCATCTGGAGCCCACCTAGACTTTTTTCATTTCTTTCAACCAGCCCATGCAGACCTCCGAGCGGGGACATGCTGGTAAGTAAAACTTAGTAGTTACATATAAGTATGTTGCTACAATTAGTAGGTTTGGTAGAGTTAAGAAGATTGATTATGAGCTTCGTCGCTGCAGGGTAGGTCTGCATTTCTCTTATTGCGAGGTGAGGGTGGGGGGGTGGGGATTGGAACCTAACACCCACAATAAATAAGGGACTGCTGTATTGTAATGTATAGGTAAGATAACATGGGCAAAAGTCAAACAAATGCTGGATGTAGTAGTAAGGTAGAGGGTACTGGTAGGACCTACAATAATCCAGTATTTTGAATATCACGTGTCTTGATTAGTTCATCTATGTGGGTAAGTGCAGAAAAGAATAAAACATTTCAAACTGAACCGATAGATTGGACATGACTCAATTGTCTGACTGTTGGATGAGCTGCATAATCAGAATGGATTTTTAGTTAAAATTATTTTTTTTAGCACCTGCTGCATCTGTGTGCAGCCCACACTGCAGGAGAAACTTCCTCCTGCAGCTCCTCCTTCCTCCTCTGTCCATCTCAGTTCTGTAAACTATATCTTGACTGCAAGTATCAAGCTGAGAAATCCTTCGTTTTCTACAACTGATAGTGGTTGAGTCATTAAGTACGATGAAGTTTAGCAACTTCTTTGTAAACATTCGAGCTCCGTGGCAGCATCGGCAGTGTGTTCCTTCTTGTTCAGTCCGGAGAAGGCAGTCTGATTTCAGTCAGCCGCGCTCAGTCTGCACCTCCTCTGAGACTGGCAGACTGAGCGGGGCAGATTGAGTGCGGCTGACCGAAATCAGATTGCCTTCTCTGGACTGAATGAGAAGAACAGACCGCTGAAGCCCCGGAGCTCGAATGTCCAACGTAAAACTAACTTTACCGTGGTTTAATGTGGTGCTATGGCTCAGCAGACATTGCACGTTGCTGTTTTGTTTTGTGGTGTTTAGTGTAAAATACTTCCACACAGCGGACATGTTTAGATGAAAAGTTGGTTAGCTGTTAGCCACAGTGCTACTGCACGTTGTAGCTAGCTGCAAACTATGAACTGGATTTCCTGAATGTGAGGTGGGTCTTATTACTCTGGGTTCATGAAACACGCCTCCGTTCAGGAAATCCATTCCATAGTTTGAAGCCAACGTGCAAAGCAGCTAGCAGGGAATCACATGTGGAGACGTTTTACTTGGAGACACAGAGACATGCATCATGGATCGGAAACCTCTCTGCAGGTTGGATCGGACAAATCTGATACATAAATTATGCTGGTATCGGAGCCCGATACCAATATTGGATCGGCCCCGTCCCTAGCGGGGGTCTGTCTTATACCTGAGTGAGCAGCACTCAGCCATTCTCTTTTTTTAAAACCGAGTCACTCTTATTTTTACACCTAAGCATTTTCTCCATTATTCTACATTTGTTCATTTGATCTGTTCATCCCTGCTCCCTGAGCAGTAGCAATGGGGAAAAACAGACCCCACTCCCACCCCCGCCTTTCTCTTTCTGAGGCTGTCTGTCGGAGGGGTGAGGAATGGAGTCTGTCTTTCTCCAACGTCAATCGTGTGTCGTGTACAATCTTACACTGAAAATCTGTGAAAGAGTGAGTCCGTAAAAGTTGAACTGTGAAGTATCGAGGGACTACTGAATGTACATAATTATTTAAATCACATCAGTAACTGGACCAATAAACCGAAAAAACATGGTTGCATACAACAAATCTAATAGCCATGTGGGGTTGTATATACAGCGTAACCCCTGACCCCTACCCATGAAGCTGTGCATGATGAAAACTGCAAAATGGCTTATTGCTCTGAACCTTTCCCCAGAAACACACTTCAAAAGATCTGGACTATGGCTTTTAGGACCACCTAGAAGAATAATTCACCTGTAGACCTGTCATTTGGTTTGATAAAACTGTCATTCTCAATAAACCATATCCTCGTTATTCAGTTCCAAGTCTGCTGGACAAGAGTTGGGAGTTTATTTATTTTGGGGGATGTCAATTAAATAAAACTACAGCATCAAATCAACAGGCAGCAGTAATGGGAGTAGCTACGGCTTCATAAATTTGATCAAAAACATGACCTGCTTTTTGAGAATCTGTCAGTATGGAGTGGAAACTTGCCAACAGGTGTAGGTGTATCAATAGTGGAGGGGGGACCTGACACCAGAGTTCCTTAGTAGCACAGCCTCCATCTACAATTTATATATTTTGGTTGATGAAATATCTTGGCTGGCACTTGTACTCAGGCTTAGCCAACACTTCGAGTGTACATCCACACAACCCCCTGAAAAATTGCAAAAAATATGCAACTCTAACTATGTTTATATATATATATATATATATACTCACTAAACTATGTTGTCATCTTGGTTTCTAAACAATGCACATGTAGGAAAAGGTGTCCACGGCTGTTATAACATGCCTATTTAGGATTAGCTGCTGCTGGGATATTCTATTCATCCCCATAAAACAAGAAAAAGTTTTAAAAATTAAGCAAGTAATGGCCCCAAAAATGGCTGATTAATAAGATGCGCTCAGCAGCAGTTTGGTAGTCGAGTGTGACAGAGCGGACAGGGGAGAGCGTGGGAGGACACACTTCCTCCGAGACTGTAA